GTGAAACTATAAAATACTATATAATACAGTATGCTATGCTATGTTCGGCTACACTACCACATGCTACGCTATATTGTACTATACTATGTTATACTATATTATGCTATACCACACATAAAACAGTCCTGCTTCTCAAAAAACTTTGGACGTTTTCTGCACATCAGTAAAAGTAAATCCTCTGTATGAAGCCCTCTTCTTTGATTCATAAAGCTTAAACGTATCCATCTTCTATACAGGTTTGTGCCTTGTAGAGTCTGGGGTTTTTGTAGGGTACGGATGCCAGTCCATCACCGAGGAGCACAAAGACAGAAAACAGACATCCATGCATGCACACTTCAGTACACTTCATATTTTAGTTCTTCTGAGGGGAAAATACATTTATTTTCCTTTTGGCATGGAACTTTTAAAGGATATGGAGCTTTAGCGGATATTCTTACCCACCTGAAACTATCATTTAATACAGTATTATGTTTTCACACTTATGAGATGTGATGTAATTTGATAAAGTACATTTTCTGTGTTTAAAAAAAGGGGAAAACAAATTCCATTTACCTTGTCTAAATGATAAAACATGCTTTCAGTTTGTACAAAAATAAGGGCTTTTAACATCCTTTCACAGTACAGAGAGATGGCACAAGGATGAGACAACAATGCATCAGCAATCATGGCAATCCTAAACAGCGGGGCTATTAACCAAGTGTGCGAGATGTTCTGGAGGAAGCAACACTGCTGTGATTATTCGCTGATGTCTCACACCTTTCCGTCAAACCTTTTTACTGCTCAGCATTGTTCCCCAAAGACACGACAATGGCCACTATCTGTTCCCTGGAGTGTCGGACATCTGTGAGAGAAAGAAATGTTCGCTTTCCCTCCACCACTTCATGTGTTGCCAAGCTGGGAACAAATAAAGCACTGTTCTTCAGTTCTGCTGCTGCTCTGAAGTCAATAGACTCTCCTTGTTTATAGACTCATCACTTAATTGTGGTCATTCTCTGCTGTTTACTTGCGATGACTGCAGCTGTCAGGCCAGTGGAGAGAGAACGTTCGCTTCTGGACACGTCCAAGGGTTGTAAAGGTTATCTCTCTGTTACTTCAAATTGTTATTGTTTCCCAGTCGAGGTAAATGAACAAAGGGATGCTTTACACGGTTACATCTGAAGGACGCGGCAAATAAATGAGCTTAAATTCACAACAGGACTTTCCTCATGATGTTGTTTTTGAGAGGCTTTCTGAGGTGTAGTAGCCTCAAACAAAGCCACTTTAGCATGAGTGCAATGTATGCTAACATTGCTCAGTGCGATGCAGATTTAGAAATGTATGTGCCGAAGTAACTCTGTGATTACTTGGCATCTTCTCCTTAGGGGTGCTGTCTGTTTTGGAAGGTGTTGATTAGAAAGTAGCTCCCAATTTGCAATTCAGGAAGATGCTATTCTCACTTTGGCATGCATGTGTTGTAGCTGCGTCACAGTAGGAAGGATTGTTGGAAATTATCTTCCACTTTGGGACAAGTCGATTTTTTTTGTTTGTTTGTTTTTTACCTATCATTTAGATTTTCAGCTTCCATTTTAATTGTATGGCTCTACAGGTATTTTGGAAATAAAATGCCACAATATAGATAGTTGCTGCTGGTGCTTTTTTTTTTTTTTTTGGGTCAGATTTACATGCTGAAGATCATTAAACACATTTTAAAATCAGACAAATCTGTTTCTTAATGCTTTATTAAGAAAAGATCAGCATTTCCAGATATGGAGCAAATGTCAGGGATTATCACACTGCTTTGTCTGCTTTATCAAGATGACAAAGCAGGTGAATGATGACATATTCAGTTCCAAATTACAGTTATACTTTATATCTTTCAGTTACATCCAAAATTTCAGAAAGTGACCAGATTTAAAATGACCCTCCTCCACTGCAGCATGCAGTTTAGTGCAGCAAGGCACTTTGCAGTATTACAATCACTGAATGTATTGGAGGAGGCGTTTGGCCCCGGTCCTTGGTCTCAGTTTAGCCGTCTGTGCTAAAGAGGCTGCACGCTCCCACAATAACACCGCTGACGTCACTGGCGAAACATCGGACTTGTGATGCCTTCAGGCTCTAATGTCAAGCTCGGAATTTGGGCTGCATGTATATTTAGCATTAAATGAATACGAATGATAAAATCAAACAAGTGGATTGTTTTTGATATGCGGTTGGGGAAACAAACGAAACCCATAGTAATGAAAGGATAAAAGAATAAACAAATCTTATCTCGGGGAATCGTCTGTGAAACACAAGTTAATGTTTAAAGTTTACTGCACATTGGTTTAAGTATTGTCAGTTTAAGTCGATATTTTGATACACATTGTCAGTTCACAGTAAAATTATAAACCGTGTCCTGGAATTGCTTTTCTGTACGTATTCCAGATCCATTCTGCAAATGTGAATGATTCTGGACTCATCAGAGAAATTAATACTGGATGGAGCATTACATTGATCAATAGAGCATCTGTCAAACAGAAACAACACACGAGTGTTGTTGTGAAGTAAAGCACCTTTATTAAAGTTGAGTTTATCCACGTTTAAGCTATAATATTTTCTATTTAAATGTAATTCATGAGTTTATGCATCAGTAACATGATAACAGGTAACGACAAAAGACTAGAGAACTTTTCTGATCCAAACAAACAAGAGGAAGTTTCTTCACCTGCAGCTGTGCTTTATGAGTTTAACTGCATGTTGCATCATTGCACAATCAGTCAGACAGACAGATGACAGCTGGCAGTTTTCTCAGTAAACATCTGCAAGAAAACATGCTCGGCAACATGCATTCTTTTGACCATGGAAATTTCTGTTAGAGCGACTGTGTCAACATTACAGGGACGTCAACAGATCCCCTTTAGGTTGTTGCATTTGTTTAAAACAATGATCAATAATTATCACTGCATGAGAAATAATAATAAAAAAAAACCTGCACTAAATCATTGTCAGCTGGCTTGAAACAGTTTGAGGTGAAAATGTGTGACCCTTTACTAAGATTTCCAGTTGAAGTGATATAATAGGATGACATTGTTTTAGGGATAAGGCTATTAGTTAAAAATGTTATGAGACGCATTCCCCTCATCCTGTTGTTTGAAAGACAAATAAGAACAAGCCTACTGAGCTGAAACACACACTGAGTCACTATTTGATAATAAAATCTCAGGAAGGATGTATCAATCCACTTCACACTTGTCAAACATATGTTGCAAACCTAAAATGCTGACCTTTTGCAAATCACTCACACAGTTATAACTGAATAAAATTTCTACTTCATTTGTTACAGTTTGATGTGGAAATGTGTCATCTTTGACAGTTTTTCTTAACGTTGTCAGCATTGCTGCTTTGTTATTTTTTGTCTTTGTGTATCTTATGACTCAGTTCTCATCTCATTTCATTTATTTAGTTATTTTTTTCCCCTTGTGTTACTTTTTAGCTTTCTGTTTTCTCTACTATCACACTTTAGCAACTCAGTATAGGAAACTTGGTTACGCCCAATGAAATAATTAACAAATTTATTTAGCCAGTTAGTGATTTATCATTTTTAAACAGTTTTGGGGCTATTTTCTGTATCTGTAGATTTACCTTTTGTAATCCACTGATAAAATTCGAAGCCATTAGATAGGCTACATTCTTCTGTCTCTGATTTTTATCTTGTTTATGTCTTTGTGGAAAAAGAAACCGGTGCAATGTGAATTCCTTCTTTCTCACAGATCACAGAAAAACTATTGGTGTAGTTAAATTAAATTTGTTCCTGTGTACATTTTCATATATTTTGTTGGTTTAATAACTGACAGAGTCGCCAACCCTCACTCTTCAGAAATGGACCTCAACATCTTCCTCTCTATATTTGAGGTTTTTGATTTTACACCATGCAACCAGGCTTTCTACTTTGCAGCAGGTCAATGAAGACAACCTCAAAATGGATAAGAAAAAGCCAAACAAAGGCCATTGACGCTCAAAAATCATCCAATGTGGCTGATTCGAGATAATTATGCTGAGGCCAAAATTTCTCCAGTCACCTAAAAGAGTCGCTGCTAGTATTGCAAATGCTACACTGCGCCTCTTGCTTTTAATTACTTTTTTTAGAAATTAATATTAAACTGTCTGATGATCCACACACTGGAATGTGATTAAAAAAAGCAACAACTAGACAATTTTATTGGAGGTTTCATTTTTTTTCTGTACACAAAAAAACTCTAGACAAATTTTCAATTTTACATTTAAATTGCCATTGGTTACTGTGCTTCAGCCGTTGTGGAATCAGTAAAAGGTAAAGTAAAATTCAAATACATTTTCTAGAAAAAGACAGGGAAATTATTACATTTTGAAAATTATTTATTACTGCAAGTCTTTATTTAAATTACATATTTTCTCTACTTACTTGTCTAGCATTTTGATATTCAATTAAACTGTAGCCACTCTAACGAGTATGTAAACCGTGGTGACTGGTTTGTGCGGACACGTCAGTGTGATTTCCGACAGTCCGAGAACGCAGCCGGGAGAAAACTGCGAGAGAATCAGTGATTGAAGAGAGAGCAGAGCGGCGGTAGCGACGACGGCCATCTTAGAGCTACCGTGGTAACCGACACTCATCTCCTGGATTTTATTTTTCCTGTTCAGTATAAACGCTCCGGCCTGACTGACGAGGACCGAAGAAGGCTGTGTTTGACTTCCCCGCGGCCGAACTCAAAGTCAGGATGCGGTTCCGAGGGAATAAACAATTTGCATCCGCAGTCGGACTGGTCCTCGGACTATTATGCGCGGTGGAGGCAGCTAAAGGTAACTAAGCTGGGATTTATCTGAGCCCGTTGCGTCTCTGTGTGTCTGTGTCTGTGTGAGCCTCTGACAGGCTCGCTTCTGCTTGGGACTGGCGGCTGCCCGGAGCCTTCTGGTTCCGTTCGGGAGCCGTGAAGGTGAAATAGCGGAGGTATAGCCGGGCTGACGGATGCCCGACCACTAACCTGCTCAGGGATGGTGGGTCCAGTCTGGAGCTGCAGCGGATGGATGTGGCTGGTGGCAAGTGCATCCCCGCGATAATAATAGACCCGCACAAACTCCAACAGCAGTAACTCTTATTATTATTAATATTATTATTATTATTATTATTATTAGCAGTTTGCGACATTTAATCTTAAATATCATCAGATAAAATAAAACGTACAAAACGACCCCTTTCTGTTATCTCCATCTATTTCTATTTTTGGGTTGCTTCGTTCTCTTTTTTTTAAAATCAAGAATAAAACAAGCCTCACCCTCTCTGCAGATTTTATAAATTATTATTACTCCCTTGTTGCAGGTACTAAATGTACTCCGCTTATTTTATATCTATATATATATATATATATATAACAGTTCTTATTTTATTTGCAGCATTCATTTAGTGTGACATGTTTGTGTTTCCAGTGTGAGGCCAAATGATTGGGTTGTGGTCCCATCGCGGCGGGTGTTGTTGGGTCCGCTACGCACTGCAGATCTTATTCACATGTCCTTGTTTTTGTCTGTGGATGTAAATATTTATGAGCCAAGGAGCTCCAGCAGAAAGATCTGCGCCTACTTATGAGTAGAAACTGTACAAAGTCGAAGTGCTGCTGCTCCCTTCTTTTGCAGCATGTCTTTATTTGCTGCAGGGAGGTCCTCCTCCCTCCCTCCCTCCCTTCTCTTCCTCCCTGCTCCTCCCTTTTCAGAGATAAACCCCCCTCCACCTCCACCCCATGAATTTATAGACTGCTTTTATTCTTAAACTCAATGCTCTGGATCTCCAGAGCGAGCTTCCTGATCCGGGGTGTGTGAGAGGCAGGTGTATGTTAGTCACTGGACGTTATCAGCAAGCCTGGGCAGCTATCCATTGTTAGGGCTTAAAATATTGTGGGGGAAACTTGATTGTGCAAATTTGGAAATTAGGTGTGAACCGGAGGAAATGATCCCTGAAAAGAAGGCTGTTCAATCTGGAGACAGAAGGAGCTTCCTTTTATTTATCCAGTTTTTTAAAAAACATACACGTATGTTTGAGCAGTTTGCAAAGCACCATTAGCAATGATTTAATGTTGATTATGTTTGTTGATCTCCCTTTCTTGGGCCTCAGAGTGAAGTCAGCCCGCCCAGGGGATACCGTCTTGTTTTACAAGTTTCATATCTTGTACTTAGTTGGACTTTGAATTCAGGTCAACTCCGGGAAGGGAAGATTTAAATACAAATACATTTCTTTTTAAGAAAGGGAAACCAGTCGATTGAAATCAGATTTGGTCTGAAAAAAAAAAAATCTCAAGATTTTATTTTTAAGCCATATTAGGGCCACCATTCTGCCTGTGACAACCTCAGGGAAACGATATGTTTTACATGTGTTTCAAAGCACCTTTGGAACCAGTTATCAGATTGATTTCCAGTCGCATTTGACCCCAATTTCACTCTGCGCTGGAGAAATGTGTTGTGCGGTTGAAACGGTCATGACAGCAAATTAAATTCTCGCTGTCATGTGATTAACCTGTTCATTCTCCTGTCAAATTTCTTCAGCCGCAAATCCATTGTTCAAGCTAATGATACTTTTCATGGAATCACCAAGTTCATGAACAATCTGGAAGGAAGTTGACAATTTGTAGTCTGGTTAAATAGCCTAAAAAAAAAAAAAAATTAGTGAAGCATGTTTGAATTTATAGATTTTACTTCTTATCTCAGCATCTAAAAGATAAAATTCAGAACCTTATGAAATGTGAGGTGCATTTACATTAATTTACAATCAGATCATGTGTTTCATCTGCGATTAGCCATGTTAAAACTTGTGTTCTTGTCCTACTTTTATCATTTTGGGTTTATTACTGACAGAAGATGATGAAGAAAATACCAAACTGAATGGCTAAACTCAAAGGTAGCCATTTAGGGAGTGCTTTATCCTTGCCTATCTTCCTTTTTTTCTCCCCAGTTTCCATGTGAAACACCTGAGAATGCTCAGCAGTAACTTCATTCCCTTTGTCATCCATTAAAAGGCCACGAAGACCAGTAAATACTTGGTGCTGTGCAAAACGTGCCAGCATCCCAGTTTGTGTGTACAAAGTGCACCTGCTGCCTTTCCCAGCTCTTATCAGGAAAGAAAACCTGTGAAATCAACTCTCCGTGGAGGGCTTATCTTTTATTAACCAAAGGTTACCTGCCTATTTTGTGCGCCGCCTCATGGCTTGTTGTCCGTCTATTTTTTATTTTTTATTACCAGCCATCTGGCAGCGAGATGAAGAAGCCAAAAACTCCCGAGGGTTTGTTTCCCTTGTGGTTCTTGGTCTTGAAAGCTTGTTAAGAAGTGATTGGATGCCAGCTCTATATGAAACAGATTGAGCTAAAGGTTCAGTTTACATGTTTTGGTAGACATCAGAGTTTGTATTTAGAGTGTATGAATCATTTCAGCGCCATCAAGAAAATGTCAGAGTGCAAATGAATTTGTCTCGCGCTGTGCTGGTCAAAGTGTTCAAACTACCGTTCCCTGCTACGCCGGAGACACTTTTGGTCATTAAAGTGCTTCTTGCTTGTTTTCCAGATGTCACCCATGTCATTTATTTCCTTTTCTGTACCCACGAGCAGCTGCTGGGCTTGTCCACCGTGCTCTCGACTCAAACGTTAGGTCTGCTGCAATGCCTGGGCTTCTGCTGTGCAAACAATCGGACAAAGGGAACACTGGCTGCTGGGAAGTTTTGTGGCTCATTCATCACTGAATTAAGTTAATTCCAGTCAAACAAATTGGATGCCCTGCTTTGTGAGGCGTTAACATATGGGTTCTCCTCACATGGCTGAAGCTTATTAAAAACTCAAGTAAGATGCTTTAGTTTTCTTTCCAAGCCTCAACACGTGGGGTTTATTTAATCTTTATCAAATTCTTTAACCAAACTAAGTATACCTCACTGCTTTATCAAAAGTCGGCCAAATGTTCCCTTGACTTTCTTTGGTTATTTTGACACTTGGCATGTTGAAGATTGAAAAAAATATCTTATTTTTCAAATTATCAGGTGCTTCAGCACAGCCTACGATTTTTGGTTTTCATGTACTTTGAGAAACTTTATTTTAGGTCAATAAAAAAAAAAAAAAAGGTTTTGAAAATGTAAACAATATAATTTTTTTATTTTCCAGAGATTGTACTCTAAAGAAAACCGTAAATAACCGTCGGCCATAGAAAACTGGATCGGTGCTTCTCTGTAGATCACAATGAAGCTGAACCTTAATATTTCATACATGTATACCAGGCTTTCCCTCAATGTATTATAAGCCTGGCGGGCCACCAGACTTTACTTGTGCCCCCACCAGGCTTAGCTCTGCCTATTTATTTCAGTTATTTTAAATGTTTGCATTTTTTAAGACTTTATGGTTGGTGTCCAGATACTAATCTTCCAATAACATATAATCATCATGTGATATTTTCAAATTTCCTGTCAACTTTAAAAAAAATTTTAACTCAAAAACACGATGGGCTGCTGGATGAATGACTACCGAACCCCTAACCACCGGGCTTAGCAAGTTTTCTGAGGAAAACCTTGTTTAACTTTTACCCATCTTTTTTATACACTGATAATAAATCAGCTGGAAAATCCCAGGAACAAATGATATATATATAAAAGACTCCACAGACCTGAACAACCCCTTCAGTAGTGAAGGGAGCTCAGGTTTCTTATGTGTTGCAGAAAGCCGTCACTTAAGCCCCGTTTAAGCCTCGAAGCTATTGCTGATCTGTAAGTCATCGTTCCGTGTTGTGGCGATTAGAAACTGCGTGAATACACACGGCTGACAATGGCCGCATTGTTCGCCCCTCTCATGCCACTCCAATGACAATGTTGTGTGCTGTCATTCTGCATCAGTTTACATATTTGTTTTTCCTCTAAAATGACAATGTTAAATGTCGAGAGGATAAGGGTTAAAGGGTTAGGGTATCTCCCTGAAGAACAGGTCTGCTAACATTAATGTAAGCCAAATGAGGGAAATTGCAGTTTTTAAGAAAGCCATCATCGGCAAAAACTTGAACTTATTTAGGAAATTTTAAATATTTTGTCAGCAGTGGGAATAATCAATGCTTTTTTTTTGTAATTAGATCTTATTAAATACAGTACATCAATACAGTGAAATCATTTTATTTTACTTTAATAACAGCCCGTGTCTACGTGGCATCTCTAGCAAAAACACACTCTTTACAAAATTCAACCATCTCAGGAGATTGGGGGGGTGGGGGCGAAGTCAAATGGAGTTCAGGAAGAAAACCGCGCACAAAGCTGAATAACAGGTTTAAACTCAGGACTTTTTCTGTGCTTCTTTGTTGAAGCTGGTAACAAAAATAATTGTATTTAAGAGAATGATAAAAAAAAACCCAATGGTGCTGAGGATAGCTGATAGAACAACTGCTTGGTAGGTTGTAGCTATATTCAAATGAAATTAAAGGATCTTTGGTTGTTTCAACAAGACTCTGTTAAATTTAGATGTATGTTTGTTCTGAATTTTATCCCAAATTGTGCTTGAAAAGTAGGACATGAATGCGTCACATAAATTTGGTTGAAAGCTGGTTAAAAACAATCATTGTTTCCCCTGTTTTGTTTTTTTTTAAAATTTGCTCTGAATAGCAGTTTATTTACCAGCAAACACTGTGCTTCACATGTCAGGTCTAACATGTTTCCCAGCAGCGTTTTCTCTCAGTGAAAGGCTTCCAGGGCTGGACTCTTGACTGAGCAGCGTGTAACAGTGTGGTCACTGTTTGAGAGATCACAACTCAAGCCCCTCAAGAATGTGCGTATTGGATAATCCCCCAAGTGCTAAGA